AAATAAACACTGGGTACCTTTAAATCTGTACTGTTGGCACTATGGTCAAATAAACACTGGATACCTATATAACTGTACTAATGTCATTATGGTCAAATAAACACTGGGTACCTTTAAATCTGTACTGTTGTCACTATGGTCAAATAAACACTGGATACCTATATAAATGTACTGTTGTCACTATGGTCAAATAAACACTGGGTACCTATACAACTGTACTGTTGTCACTATGGTCAATAAACACTGGATACCTATACAACTGTACTGTTGTCACTATGGTCAAATAAACACTGGATACCTATATAACTGTACTGTTGTCTCTATGGTCAATAAACACTGGGTACCTATATAACTGTACTGTTGTCACTATGGTCAAATAAACACTGGGTACCTTTAAAACTGTACTGTTGTCACTATGGTCAAATAAACACTGGATACCGATATAACTGTACTGTTTTCACTATGGTGAAATAAACACTGGATACCTATATAACTGTACTGTTGTCACTATGTTGAAATAAACACTGGATAACGATATAACTTTACTGTTTTAACTATGGTGAAATAAACAATGGATACCTATATAAGTGTACTGTTGTCACTATGGCCAAATAAACACTGGGTACCTGTAAAACTGTACTGTTGTCACTATGGTCAAATAAACACTTGATACCTATTAAACCATACTGTTGTCACTGTGATCAAATACACATTTGATACCTATATAACTGTAATGTTGCCACTATGTTCAAACTAAACTTGATTTCTATAAACCGTACTTTTGTCCTTATGATGGAAAACACTCGATATCTGTATAACCTAACTGTTGCTATGGTGAAATATTACAAACCGAACACATTTATACATATACTACTGTCGCTTTAGTCAAAATAACAGTGGTTAGCATTCAAGATAGAGAACTAGTGATAACTAGATAGCAAAAACATCTCCATGACCCTTACTGGGTTTAAAATCTTTCCTTTGTATAATTTACATATATTTTCGGTTCAACTTTATCTTTCTTTCTTTCTTTCTTTTATTAGCATTAATTATTGTAAGCTTTCTTTTTTTCTTTCTTTCTTTCTTTCTTTCTTTCCTTTCTTTCTTTCTTTCTTTCTTTTATTAGCATTAATTATTGTAAGCTTTCTTTCTTTCTTTCTTTTTCTTTTCTCTTTCTTTCTCTCTTCGTTCTTTCTTTAGCATTACAACGATGCACATTCGTCTTAATTTATTCAACGTATTTGTTGTTTGCCATTGCCTTAACGAAGATAAGAAGTTAGGACACTCACCTTAGTATCAAGATGTGAAGGATTATTTTCTTTCTTCTGTTTGCTTTAAAGAACGAACAAGCAGTAAAATTACATGATAATAGGACGTTCTTGTAAGACTTTGTTTTGAATCTTCTTGATATATAATAACTACAAAATGTGCAGTATTAAATTGTATATAACCGACACCGGTTGGTAGTTATAAGTAACTACCAAACTACATTATCATTTGACACGGCAAAATTATCATGTCTATTTAAATTCAATGCAAAAATAAACATTAAGAACACTATCTTATTTAGTTTTTGTTTACTAAACATCTGTTAACACCGACATAATTGACTTTCCATTTTTATTTACACCTCTCCTGATGCTTTAATTTCACATGTCTATGTCATGATTTAAAGATAACGTTATTATTTTAATCACTCGTGTACCTGCTCACGTTTCTGTGTAATGATTAAATGTTCCCTAACCTCAATACACTATAAGCGGATTGGATTCATAATACAGGTGATATACTGGTGATCGCCCAAAATATTTATTTATTAATTTGTTATTTCTTGACCACATTAACCCAATATGTCCAACTTAGCATGCTTTAAATAATAGTTTGGTTTTCCTGTGATTTCATTTCATCTGAGCACTGGCACTATTGTATAAACTTCAATTTAAAAAGACTTTGCTCAGTAATTGAAATCATGTTGTTGATATCTTTATACGAACATGGTAAACATTGTTCGTTGGCCAGCCTGTATTCTGTTATCATCAGTTTGTCAATAGAAAAGCAATGCCGATAGGATTGCCTTTCGAGAGACTAGTTACTTTTCCTGCTTTGTTCCAGATATTAAGGAAATATTTTTCGCTTACATTCGTGTGCTCTGAGAGACTAGTTACTTTTCCTGCTTTGTTCCAGATATTAAGGAAATATTTTTCGCTTACATTCGTGTGCTCTGAGAGACTAGTTACTTTTCCTGCTTTGTTCCAGATATTAAGGAAATATTTTTCGCTTACATTCGTGTGCTCTGAGAGACTAGTTACTTTTCCTGCTTTGTTCCAGATATTAAGGAAATATTTTTCGCTTACATTCGTGTGCTCTGAGAGACTAGTTACTTTTCCTGCTTTGTTCCAGATATTAAGGAAATATTTTTCGCTTACATTCGTGTGCTCTGAGAGACTAGTTACTTTTCCTGCTTTGTTCCAGATATTAAGGAAATATTTTTCGCTTACATTCGTGTGCTCTGACAAATGTGGCCTCAAGTAACTCCTTTGATCAGTTGAATCCGCTTATAGTGTGATCGAGGTCAGGGATATATTTTTATGTATATTATTACCATTAGGTCATAGAAAGGTAAGTAGGTATAACCTTGTAATTAAAATATCTATAACGTTTTCCACAAGGTAGGTAGTCAAGTATATTGGGAATATTGAAAGTTTGTGACTGATCGAATGTTATACATAATAACATAATTCCCGTAACGGAACCAGATTATTTTGGCGCAAAAACTGAGTTTAAGTCATGCATGACGTTACTTTGTCGAAATATCGTTCCACACTTAAATACAACTTTACAGTATATAGCTAAAGGGTTGGGGAGCTTATTATTTATTATTGATAGAAGGTGTAAGATTAAACTAGAATCCTTAATATTTGTAATTTAATTACACTACATGCTTATGCTATTTATTCAAAAATAATAACCAATTTAATGAATATGAAGCAGGTTGAATAACGTGATTCGAAAAAAGACTGATTTGATCCTTCCAACACCTAATTGAGCGTGATAACGCTAGACGAAGTTTAAGGTCAGTACCTGAAACCTTATACCAAATTGTAGTTTTCCAGTCGTGTGACTTGCTTACACATTTTTTTTTAATAATTCATGGTGACTGTGCTTGTGCAATAAAAGAAGAAATGAGGCCAGCAAGAAGTGACGATGACTTTATCAGGAAAGCAGAGCAGACATGTTTGGCAAATACATACAGCAGAAATTGGCGATATCAAATTTTGCTCGATTCTGGCCATACACCTTGACACTTCTCAATCACCTTTTCCCATACACTTCAGGACGTATGTTTGTCAAGTAGCTGAATAGGTTAATACTACTTAATATTAGACCATGTTTATAAGGTTTTAGCTACCGACCTTGAAATGGAAGAATATAATACAAAATGAACCCCACCCTTTCTTTCCACTCGGTTTAAAAAAGGAAATAATCAGCCTTGTAGAGACTATTTGCAATGCGTTAAAATTAATCTGTGTTAAATGAGATTTATAAATGATGATAATAGAATAATATACAAAGGTTAAATTTCGCGGAGCGATAAGATAAGAACTAGTTTGCGGGGATTAAGTTTCGCTTAGGTTTTCACTAACGAGAGTATTTTTGTATTTTGGTAATGGTTAATTTTACTAGTGTTTATAAAAATAAAAATAATTCGAGGTTCTTGTATACTACTTTATCACAACCTAGTTTGTAGGTCGTCTCAAAGCAGTTCAATTAGTGGTATATACATGATAGGGCCTTTGCAACCAGCCAATATCTTTCTCAACTCCCTGGGGAGCATACATCCGGTGCTGCCATTTCGGCGCTAGCATTCAACAATGATAGCTCTGCCCAACCACGTACTCATTTACAGCTAAGTAGACTGGAACAAACAAAGTAAAGTATATTGTTCAAAGATATAACACCGTGCCGTGACGTGACCATTTATACATTATGTTTAAAATGACAAAAACATGTAGATATCAATGTTGGTTGTTGGTACCCAAATGCTGTCAACATAACACATATAAGTTTAACATTATCTTACTCTGCATTCGCAAAGTGTCTGAAAACGCGTCAAATTAGGTCAATAATTTTATTTTATATTTCTTATATATGAGCTTGTGTATTTTATTGTGCTTGTGTATTTGACTTTAGTAACTAACCTTGGACTGGCAAAGAAAAATGAAAAGCTACCATAGATTTTAAATAAGAACAAAATAAAACATATTTTTTGATTATTATCGAAAACATAAATTCTTTTGAATAAAACAGTATATAACACTTATGCAAAAGAGGTTAAAGGTGTGCAGTGTGTTGAAGTTGATCTCCGTATTAAACTTCACTTACAGAACTTGAACTTGATCGTGTCCCGGGAAATGTTACAAATAAAACTACACAACACTTTCTGTTTCTGTCTGTTATCTATAATGATTTTATTCGCATAGTTATTGTGTCCAAGATTCAACTTTTTAACAATAATGCACATGAAAATGCAGGTTATATTTAAGCCATTTTACTCATTTTCGGGAAACTCTCCTATCCTTTAGCTATATAACAAACTACGAATATAATTATTTTGATGTACATCGCTGAAAGATTTGTGTTTTTTGTTTTCTTTATAGCACATTATGACATTAATTAAACATTTGTGTATACATAATGTAACCTTTGCCGTTCAAATGAATACTGCGAATGTGGAATAGTTGTGACAATGTTCGCTTTGTGACTCTTAAAAATGGTTGCGGCGTGAATTAATTTTGCGATGGCAATAGACCCGAAATCTTTATTATCTATCATTTTATAAAATCTATCAACATTTATTCTTGTGTTTATATTTACGCACATACCTCAATTTTCCATTTCCTTAACTAATCAACGAATGACACATTTTCTGTTTTGCCAGTTTACCTAAGGTAACTAGTTAATACCTAACAAAACAAAACAAAACGTTTTATACACATGAGTCGTTTATATTTGTTTTATTATTTTAAAAGCATTGAACCGTCTCGTCTATTCTCCTTTAGATCACGATCTGAGTCTGTCACTTTGTCACTTCTATAATAACAAGGCGGCTGGCCAACATGATCTAACGATGTAGCCTCTGGTATTGGCGATAGCCATGTCCTTTGTGATTCCAACTGTGCGGGATTATGTTCATTGCACAACTGTTGTGACGTCATATGCTTGTTTTTGATACAACACTTTTGTCTTGGTACGCCAAGGCAAGAACATTCCTGCGGAAAAGTATTTGTTTCTTGACTTCGTCTTTGATGTTTTATATTGTTGATCGTGTCGTTGAACTTTTCAAGCTGCATGATAAGCAACACATTCTGATCCATCATACCCGCCTAAAATACAAAAAAAAATCATGACAGTTTAGTAGATACCAACAATTAAAGAAAATGTTATCGGTCACTCTGCTCCCTTATATCGGCATGAAACTGTACAATATGGTTCAGACATTTATCAAGATTTAACCACAAAAAGGAATTATGATTTCATATCTATAACACAAATCTAATTAATGCAAGATATTTATGAAAGCGACACAGCTATAATACAGCTATATACGACGGTCAATTATCATGGTTTGGTCAACATAAGGATGGTCATGCCATATTTTTGCAAATCACTTTAGTTATGACGTGTTCGTCAACGGTAACCAGAAAAAATATAAAAAATATAATTTTATTGTAAAAGTCAACAAAAGCGTAGAATGAAACAGCAGCCTTCTCTCCAAGCCCCATCCCACCTTATTAAACAAAACATATCCACACTTCCAGTCAGGGAAATATATGTCTGCCTTACCTTGGATAAAGCCTCGGACTAGACATTTAAGTCTTATTCCTTTTGTGGAGTGTTTTCCCCATTACCCAAAAGGTGCGAAAAGATTCTTTTAGTCCATACACTATTGATATTAGAACACTGTAGGACATTTAACGTTATGGCTATTGGAATTTTCTGACGATATATATTATTTATTTATAACAATCTCGACACACTTTCACATGTAAAACAATGCGTGACATCAATGCTTTATATACTTAAATTTCAAAATACTCAAGCGCTCCTGACACATTTTTAAGATACGCCCGAGGAAAAATACATGTTATGTTTAATCTAAAGCATTTACTCATGTTTGCTGATTCAATTACAACAGGAGAAGAAGGTTAATTAATTGAAAAATACATTAGTAAAATAAACTAACCATGTGGCCCCGCAGTGTGTCCATGGCTTCCTTCAAATTCACAGAACTTTCATTTGTAGTTATATGAACATAAGGGGTATCTACGGGACCGTCCATACTGTAACCGTAGTCACATGCGTATGTGAGATGATCGGCAGCCGATATCGCGTCGTATTTATACCGTATTACGAGGATTAAAAAAAATCCGCACCTGTTTGTTTTGGAAAGGATTGATACAGTTTAACAACGCGAAAACAAACGAAATATTTGAACGTGCATTATTCTTTGATCCTATCAACCAAAATGGCCTTGACTTAAACATGAACACTTGTAATACTATAAATGGGAATACGTCATTCCAAGTGGTCAATAGTTTACCTGTAGGCGACAGCTATCTCTGAGCATAGGCAGACTACAATATGAGAGACATGGTAAAGTACTCCACATAGTAAGGAAGGTAACATGTGGATAAACCGGCCAATAAAGCATATTAGATTCATGCATGATAGTAAGGTATCATGGCAAGATATATTAACTATGAATTCCCAACGACATGACAGCATTTCTGATATTAAAGTAGCAACACTGTTAACGGTAAACCGGCAAAGCCATGTTTTCTTCATGAAAAATTGGTAACAACATTTAATGGAAAAGAAGGTTGGAATAAAGAGAGAAAAAAAACAAAAAACAGTAATTCTAGTTCATTAACCTCACATACAATTATCCTAAAGATACCGATAAAATTAAAGTCTAATCTTTTTCAACAAGTCTTCTACATTGTATCTACAAAACTGAAATTGCGTATATGACATTCCTTAAAGAAGGATTATTCGTAACCGTGTACCATTTATTATGATTCAATTCAATTATAACCAATGCAGAAATTAGAGTTGAAAGTAGGGCTCTGGGTTAGCGTTGCCTACAACACACTTCAGCATTGTTCTGAAAATTGTTCTGGACAATGTAATGTAAGACCGTGAATAGTCTTGTTGATAGTAACTTCGGTATGAACATTACACTATGTCTGACCTTTGCGGGAAATAATATATTTCGTGTATGTTAATGTGAGTTATGTGGAAAATATTATACTTAATCTTACGTGAGAAATAGTATATTTGTCTATGCTACAATGAGCTTTAGGCGAAATAGGATACTATGTCTATGAAACTCTAAGATAAGTGGAAAGAAGTGTTATATATCTATGTTACAGTTAGTTATTTTGGAATTATTTTACTGTGTCTATGTAAATGTGAGTTACGTTGGGAATAGTAAACTGTGTCTATGTAACTGTGAGTTATGTTGGAAATAGCTTACTGTGTCTATTTAACTGAGAGCTATGTTGGAAATTGTATACTGTGTCTATGTCATTGTGAATTATGTTGGAAATAGTATACTGTGTCTATTTAACTGTGAGTTATGTCGGGTATAGTATATTGTGTCTTTGTAAATGTGAGTTACGTTGGATATAGTAAACTGTGTCTATGTAACAGTGAATTATGTCGGAAATAGTATACTGTGTCTATTTTACTGTGAATTATGTTAAAAATAGTATACTGTGTCTATGTAACTGTGAATTATGTTGAAAATATTATACTGTGTCTATGTAACTGTGAGTTATGTCGGGGATAGTATATTGTGTCTTTGTAAATGTGAGTTACGTTGGATATAGTAAACTGTGTCTATGTAACAGGAAATTATGTTGAAAAACGTATACTGTGTCTCTGTTACTGTGAATTATGTTTGAAATAGTATACTGTGTCTATGCTACTGTGAGTTATGATGGAAATAGTATACTCTATCTATGTTACGGTGAGTTATGTTGGAAATAGTATACTGAGTGTATGTTACTGTGAATTATGTTGGAAATAGTATACTGTGTCCATGTTACTATGAGTTATGTTGGAAATAGTATACTGTGTCTATGTTACTGTGAATTATGTTGGAAATAGTATACTGTATCCATGTAACTGTGAGTTAAATTGGATTTAGTATACTGTGTCTATGTTACTGTGATTTATGTTGGAAATAGTATACTGTGTCTATGTTACTGTGAGTTATGTTGGAAAAAGTATACTGTATCTTTGTAACTGTGAATTATGTTGGAAATAGTATACTGGGTCTGTGTAACTGTGAGTTATGTTGGAAATAGTATAATGTGTCTATGTTACTGTGACTTATGTCGGAAATAGTAAACTGTGTCTATGTTACTGTGAACTATGTCGGAAATAGTATACTGTGTCTATGTAACTGTGAATTATGTTGAAAATATTATACTGTGTCTATTTTACTGTGAATTATGTTGAAAATAGTATACTGTGTCTATGTAACAGTGAGTTATGTCGGAAATAGTAAACTGTGTCTATGTAACTGTGAATTATGTTGGAAATAGTATACTGTGTCTATTTTACTGTGAATTATGTCGGAAATAGTAAACTGTGTTTATGTAACTGTGAATTATGTCGAAAAACGTATACTGTGTCTATGTTACTGTGAGTTATGTCGGAAATAGTATATTGTGTCTTTGTAAATGTGAATTATGTTGAAAATATTATACTGTGTCTATGTTACTGTGGGTTATGTTGAAAATATTATACTGTGTCTATTTTACTGTGAATTATGTTGAAAATATTATACTGTGTCTATGTAACTGTGAGTTATGTCGGAAATAGTATACTGTGTCTTTTTTACTGTGAATTATGTTGAAAATATTAACTGTGTCGATGTTACTGTGAATTATGTTGAAAATATTATACTGTGTCTATGTTACTGTGAGTTATGTTGGTAATAGTTAACTCTGTCTATGCAATTGTGAGTTATGTTGGAAATAGTAAACTGTGTCTATGTAACAGTGAGTTATGTCGGAAACAGTATACTCTGTCTATGTAACTGTGAGTTATGTTGGAAATAGTAAACTGTGTCTATGTAACTGTGAGTTATGTCGGAAATAGTATACTGTGTCTATGTAACTGTGCATTATGTCGGAAATAGTAAACTGTGTCTATGTTACTGTGATTTATGTTGGAAATAGTAAACTTGTGTCTATGTTACTGTGAGTTATGTTGGAAATAGTTAACTCTGTCTATGCAATTGTGAGTTATGTTGGAAATAGTATACTGTGTCTATATAACTGTGAGTTATGTGAATTATGTTGAAAATATTAGCTGTGTCTATGTAAGTGTGGGGGATGTCGGAAATAGTATACTGTGTTGAATTATGTTGAAAATATTATACTGTGTCTATGTTACTGTGATTTATGTTGGAAATAGTAAACTGTGACTATGTAACTGTGAGTTATGTTTGAAATAGTTGTCACGCTCGCATATGTATATATACAGTTAGTAGGGATTTTGTTATGTTTTGTATGTAATGTTTGTGTACTTGTGTTATTTGGTGGAACGCTACCTAAAAAGCGGAAAGGAAAGTATGTTCGAAAAGACACGAGAGGTACCGGGGGAGGAAACTTTGAAACATGGCGGTATTGCATGTTCACATGGAGTATACTGTGTCTATGTAACAGTGAGTTATCTCGGAACCAGTATACTCTGTCTATGTAACTGTGAGTTAAGTCGGAAATAGTATACTGTGTTGAATTATGTTGAAAATATTAACTGCGGCGATGTTACTGGGAATTATGTTGAAAATATTATACTGAGTCTATGTTACTGTGAGTTATGTTGGAAGTAGTATACTGTGTCTATGTAACAGTATATTGTGTCTTTGTAAATGTGAGTTACGTTGGATATAGTAAACTGTGTCTATGTAGCTGTGAGTTATGTCGGAAATAGCATACTGTGTCTATGTAACTGAATTATGTTGAAAATATTAGACTGTGTCTATGTAACTGTGAGTCATGTTGGAAATAGTAAACTGTGACTATGTAACTGTGAGTTATGTCGGGAATAGTAAACTGTGTCTATGTTACTGTGATTTATGTTGGAAATAGTAAACTTGTGTCTATGTTACTGTGAGTTATGTTGGAAATAGTTGTCACGCTCGCATATGTATATATTCAGTTAGTAGGTATTTTGTTATGTTTTGTATGTAATGTTTGTGTACTTGTGTTATTTTGTGGAACGCTACCTAAAAAGCGGAAAGGTAAGTATGTTCGAAAAGACACGAGAGGTACCGGGGGAGGAAACTTTGAAACATGGCGGTATTGCATGTTCACATGGAGAACGGACTCTATTATATACTTTCATAGGCCGCTCCATGAGGAAAGCACAGAAAGCTGACTGTGGTAAGTGTTTAACCCATGTTTGTTTATGTCCCGTGTATTTGGTCCGCTTTGATTATGTAATTTGCCTGATGGAGACCGGTCAATAATTCATATAAATCATAATGTCGCTGGACAGGTCAGATCAAGTAATATAGCTCACAATACTAGTAAATAATAGTATACTGTGTCTATATATCTGTGAGTTATGTTGGAAATAGTTAACTCTGTCTATGCAATTGTGAGTTATGTTGGAAATAGCTGTCACGCTCGCATATGTATATATTCAGTTAGTAGGTATTTTGTTATGTTTTGTATGTAATGTTTGTGTACTTGTGTTATTTGGTGGAACGCTACCTAAAAAGCGGAAAGGTAAGTATGTTCGAAAAGACACGAGAGGTACCGGGGGAGGAAACTTTGAAACATGGCGGTATTGCCTGTTCACATGGAGAACGGAATCTATTATATACTTTCATAGGCCGCTCCATGAGGAAAGCACAGAAAGCTGACTGTGGTAAGTGTTTAACCCATGTTTGTTTATGTCCCGTGTATTTGGTCCGCTTTGATTATGTAATTTACCTGATGGAGACCGGTCAATAATTCATATAAATCATAATGTCGCTGGACAGGTCAGATCAAGTAATATAGCTCACAATACTAGTAAATAATAGTATACTGTGTCTATATATCTGTGAGTTATGTTGGAAATAGAAAACTGTGTCTATGTAACTGTGAGTCATGTTGGAAATAGTAAACTGTGACTATGTAACTGTGAGTTATGTCGGGAATAGTAAACTGTGTCTATGTTACTGTGATTTATGTTGGAAATAGTAAACTGTGACTATGTAACTGTGAGTTATGTCGGGGATAGTATATTGTGTCTTTGTAAATGTGAGTTACGTTGGATATAGTAAACTGTGTCTATGTTACTGTGGGTTATGTTGAAAATATTATAATGTGTCTATTTTACTGTGAATTATGTTGCAAATATTATACTGTGTCTATGTTACTGTGATTTATGTTGGAAATAGTAAACTGGGTCTATGTAACTGTGAGTTATGTTGGCAATAGTAAACTGTGTCTATGTAACTGTGAGTTATGTTGGAAATAGTTGTCACGCTCGCATATGTATATATACAGTTAGTAGGTATTTTGTTATGTTTTGTATGTAATGTTTGTGTACTTGTGTTATTTGGTGGAACGCTACCTAAAAAGCGGAAAGGTAAGTATGTTCGAAAAGACACGAGAGGTACCGGGGGAGGAAACTTTGAAACATGGCGGTATTGCATGTTCACATGGAGAACGGACTCTATTATATACTTTCATAGGCCGCTCCATGAGGAAAGCACAGAAAGCTGACTGTGGTAAGTGTTTAACCCATGTTTGTTTATGTCCCGTGTATTTGGTCCGCTTTGATTATGTAATTTACCTGATGGAGACCGGTCAATAATTCATATAAATCATAATGTCGCTGGACAGGTCAGATCAAGTAATATAGCTCACAATACTAGTAAATATGTATCTAGCACGGTACCCAACCATATGCGAGGTCACCGAGAAACTGTCTCTACTATAAGTAGAGCACACTGTAGGAATAGGGGGTTACAATGTCTACAATATGCAGAGCACAATACGCCGTCCGTACAGTCTTGAGTCCTGGAAGGAAGAGAGTTGGGGTCAAGGAATACTCATTCAAGCAGCACGGGGTCTCTGGCATCTTACTTCCGGTGGAAGCCCGGATGACGTAATGTAAACAGACCCTCGACACTACAATTGTTAGGTGGTGCGATCCACTCATGCGTGACTGAGTTGTTGACGTGTGCATTTCGCCTATAAACCATTTTACACGTGTTATAATTGTAATAATCGGTATTTATTGGTTGTATGAAGAAGATAATTGTGTGTTACTTGTGTGTAAATTTTCAGAAACCTAGATGTTATTGTACATTACATTATTTGTGCGTATGCATTATCTGTAGATACGGAGGCCCATATGTGACATGTTAGTTGATTGCATCCTGTGGAGCCGCACGAATTCTTAATTGCTTGGTTGCTAACATTTCGCTTATCATGTTATCAGCATTTAGTGTATTCTTTCTGATCTTAGTTACGTAATTATTCTAAATATCAATATCCTTTTAGGTATTCGAAATGTCGGTTTGTGAGAATTATAAAAGTATGGAAGCGCGTGGGTGAAATAAATGTGTAGTTAAAATATGTGAAGTGACATTCAAATTACGTGAATTTATATGGATTTTCGTCATCTTCTGTCATATTTTCCATCTTTTGCCAGCTTTCTACCCTGAGATTATCTGGAGGATCATCTGTTGAACAGACCAGCCGACACCCGAGACAGATCTGACCATGACAGGGTCATTTGGGTGTGATACAGCGGCGGTACGACATATCCTAAGATAGCAAGCGGTTTCTTTGCATAGAGGAGGACTTACACTGAAGTCGATGGTCTATTGTGTAAGACCACCCAATTTGTCTACCGTGCCAGTAGATTGTGCCACCCTTCTAGATGGTGGATGTGTGTAAACACTTGCATGTTTTGACGCTGTTCAGTGGGATAGCCAACCCTAACTCATGGCTGGTGTGAGGTAGACTTTGTTCCAGTTCCAGAGAAGTAGAATAGTCTACAGAAGAGGATCTGTAGTTGACAGAACATTTCCGTTAGACTGTATTTATTTGTGTGTTGTGAGTGTGAGTGAGTATATATTATATTAATCTGTGTTGTACATTATCTTTATATATAGTGTAACTAAATATGTATATACTGTATAGAGTGTACTATTGTGTTGTCATTGCCGGGTAAGGCTGCGTCGCTCGTCCCACAGTTACAATAGTACACTATGTCTATGTAAATGTGAGCTACGTTGGAAATAGTATACTCTATCTGTGTAACTGTGAGTTATGTTGGAAATAGTATACTTCGTTTAAAGTACATTTAAAACGTATCAATCTGTGAGTGTTTAAGATACGTATATTACGTGTCATCTATATGTAATTGTGAACAAAATGGATACCTCTATATCTGACTGAATTTTGTAAGAAATGTGCACATTATGTCAACCATACTGTGCGTTATGTTGGAAATGCATCTACTACGTCCCCTGAGGTATATTAAAAGTCCGTGTACTACTTTTATGCTAGAAGTGCGTATGCTCTGTCAATCTAAATGTAAGTTATGTGGAAAAAGTAAACGATCTCTTATTTAACTTTCCCTCATGTTCAGCTGACGTCTCAGACTACAAAGTTGTTCTGTCCGTATAGTTGTATATATACATCTTCACCGATAGCTCTAGCCTTTAGTGTATACATCCATTGATCTAGTGCAATCTAAGACGTCAGATGAAAATGTGGTATAGCGTTTGGTACACGCTTGCTGCAAAATATCTCTCTCCATTAACCTTTAGGAATGTTCAATTTGCTTCCCGACCAAAAAAATGAGGTTGAGAACAGAATAATGATGTCACGGTCCTTGATCATTTGATAGTTTGTGCCGGCGAAAATAAGTCATGCCTCGTGGGTTAACACAACATCTTGTATTATGACATTATAGGATACGGACCTTTGCACTCGATTGCCTGTATTGTAACATTGTAGTAACATCGACTAGGAATGTAATATACTATGCCATCTTACTGTAGTGGTGTGGGGAAAACGTTTAAAACGTCTCATGTAAAGACACATGTCTACACCACATATATTTCTAATTTCGATGAAATATATTTTCATTTTCCTAAACAACAACACACATTTTCTGAATCTCTAAACCTTTAAACACAAGTCCTGCTCGATTTGGTCACACCCGATATCCGACAGACCGACCTGCTAAGCGGGCGCTTTCCTCGGTTTGAATGGAAATAATACCAACGGGCACTCAAATCGAGCTGGCCCATCTCGTTTACCTTTTTCCTGTAGCTTCCCTTTTCTAACACACAACTATTTTTTAGCTACTCTATATAGATTACAAAAATGCATTTTCCTCGTTTATTATATATTCTTTTTATTTTCGGCGTGTAGTGTTTAGATTTATTAATTGAGAACGTTCTCACTATATATGGACAGCATTCAAGATTGCTAAAATCTTGGGGTGAAATGTAGAAAATGTCGCTTTAATTGTTCAGTCGAGTAACACAATACCTTGTACATGTAATTCACCATAAGCGCGTATAAAGAATATATTTATTGAATTTTTGTATAATGAGATGCATATCGTATTACGGGTTGAAAATCCCTAGCTAACCAGGAAGTGCGTGTGTAAAGTAATAAACTCGGATGAGGTCCTTGTAAGAAGGGGATATCTATGCAGATATCAACAGGTGTACATTCTATTCGTTTAAATTTCTGGAACAACATCCAGAATTCACAGCTCGTTTTTCCTGTTTAAATATGAGTGAAGTTAACATGCCTACGTTATATTCGGTGATAAACATTGCAACTGTTTGAGAAGGGGAATTAAGTTAAGAGCAATACTTATTTTGAACCTTATGTGAATATGCCTCACTTGTAGGGAGCCTACACATTGTCCAGTATTTTAAATTGGCATTGAACATATACGTTAAATTTTACCTTCTTATGTAAACTAGACGTTTTCGCTGCAGATAGATCTATGGATCTAAGCAGGCTCTTCTCGATTGATTTAAAGGATGTCAAAAAAGTGTTTCCGGATATTGAGCATATCATAAATAAATAAATAATAATACAAAATCTTACAAAGTATCTATTTTAAACGAACACAACAAAACATTCATGTTAAATACGTCTTTAGTCATTTTTTATTATAGTTAAACATTTCAGTGAAATATCGATGAGGTTGCTGACTAATTAAGAAATTCAAATTTGAATGTATTATCATGTTATTACCAACATACGTCCTTAGTGAAATAAGGACCACATTGTAGACAGACTTGTGAAAAATTAAATTGCAAGGATATAACTCTCTGATTTCCAGGTACACCGACGCTGTTTAACAGCATTTGTCATTTTCGTTCGCTCAGCGAAAAGAATTAACTCAATGAAGCTCTTCCGTTACGCAAGAGGCACCGTTTATTTTTATACAAATTACTTTAATATTTTATCGAAGATTTGCTCTAAATGTTCCTTTTTGTCTATAAACGTTTAACAATTAGCAAACCTACAAGAAAAATCATATACTACACACATGCACGCACATAAACAACTTTGCACAATGCTGAACGTTTTGTGGACTTGCGCATGACATTACAAAAAAATGGTTATGGTGGACTAGATAACAACAATTGCCTATTTTGAAATAGAGTTTGTTGATTAAGACGTCTAATTTATATCGTCGATTCCTTTACCAAAGACGACACAGTTTGTTATACTTACACCTGTTAGGATCCACTCAGTTATGTCAGTATACACCCCGATCCACCCAGTCATATCAGTATACACCCCGATCCACCCAGTCATGTCAGTATACCCCCCGATCCACCCAGTCATATCAGTATACGCCCCGATCCACCAAGTCATATCAGTATACACCCCGATCCACCCAGTCATATCAGTATACTCCCCGATCCACCAAGTCATATCAGTATACCCCCCGATCCACCCAGTCATGTCAGTATACCCCCCGATCCACCCAGTCATATCAGTATACACCCCGATCCACCAAGTCATATCAGTATACCCCCCGATCCACCCAGTCATGTCAGTATACCCCCCGATCCACCCAGTCATATCAGTATACGCCCCGATCCACCCAGTCATGTCAGTATACACCCCGATCCACCCAGTCATGCCATTATACACCCCGATCCACCCAGTCATGTCAGTATACACCCCGATCAACCCAGTCATGTCAGTATAAACCCCGATCCACCCAGTCATATCAGTATACACCCCCATCCACCCTACCATCTCAGCATACACCCCGATCTTACCAATCATGCCAGTATACAACCCGATCCACCTACTCATATCAGTATACACCAAAATCCACCCTACCATGTTAGTATACTACCCGATAACTCCTGCCATGTTAGTTTACTACCCGATCCACTCAGGCATGTCAGTATACACCCCGATCCACCAAGTCATGTCAGTAAACATTCCGATCCACCCAGTCATATCAGTATACACCCCGATCCACCAAGTCATGTCAGTATACACCCCGATCCCCCCAGGCATGTCAGTATACACCCCGGTCCACCCAGTCATGTCAGTATACACCCCGATCCACCGAATCATGTCAGTATACACCCCGATCCACCCAGGCATGTCAGTATACACCCCGGTCCACCCAGTCCTGTCAGTATACACCCCGATCCACCGAATTATGTCAGTATACACCCCGATCCACCCAGGCATGTCAGTATACACCACGGTCCACCCAGTCTAATCTTTTGCTTATTATACATGATATGTCTACCGGTCAATACTACATGTACATCATGTCACAATACAATCATCCATTTCGGATGCAAAGACGCTATGAGTGTTTTAAACAAGGGGTCAGTGACCTCGTTAACTTAAAACACCATAAATAGAAAACGGTACCTATCAGAGAACACCACAAAGGTATTTTGATACCACACGATAAATAGATTTTATAATGTTTGTAAGATGAAACACGCTAACAAAGTTTTCTGATAAAAGTGATAATGAAGTTTTTTTTTTTTCAATTACTTATATTGTAAGACAAGAAGGCAAGAAATAATATATCCACGGTGTTCCTGGTTGATTCTTACACACAGTACCCTGTCAACATAGACACACGCGGTTTTTTTTTTTATTTGCCGTACAGTTGAAACTTGACCTCAGACAGCGTTTTATTTATAAGTGAAAATAGATAACGGCATTTTAATGCTAATGTCATTACTGCAAATGTTTTATATAGCATTAACGTTGTGAAAACACTGCAACACTGTTTTTATACAAACGTCAACGACTTTAGTATATAAATATACAATCGCCTAGTGTGCTGTGTTATGTTGAGTCAAGTCCCGCTCCGTTACACACAACCTTTTGCACTAAGCAACACGGAACCCATCGGAATATAGCAGCAGATATAACAGAACCTCTCGAGGAGTACAAAAAGGATCATGCTATTTTATATTTAGATTTCACATAAAACACTTTTTTTCAAATTACACTATTCTATAGACATATTTCCAAATGAATAAATGATCTTTACGATATACTAAATAGATCCGCATGCATCTATCAGCACATCTTTCAGATTCGAGTTTTAAGGTCAGCATTGTCTACCTTCCAAAGTCATCTTCACTACTGTTTACTAAGTGTTCTGAAATGGTATACGCGAGAGGAAATGATTAAGGAAGTAAAAGTGTTTGTGGGGAAAACCCATAAATATATTTACACTACGGGCAAGGAACGATCGGAAGGGCAGGTAAGTGAATATGTTTTCTTTATGGATCCATGGTTATTGGAAATACAAGAATTCTATCAAGAGATGTCTACCGATTCTGTTAGTTATTCTTTACTAAGTTAGATCGCATGGTCTGCCTTATCTGGAATAAAACACCTATGCTGATAATGTAATAATAATAATTCCAGGTTCTTATATATCGCTTTATCACAGCCTAGTTTGTAGGTCGTCTTAAAGCGGTTCACAAATAATTATCCGTGGTTATAGGGCTTTTGCAACCGGCCAATGTCTTTCTCAGCTCCAAGGGGAGCATAAAGCCGGTGCTGTCATTTCGGCGCTGACGGCTAGCATTCAACAATTCTAGCACTCCCCAACACGTACTCATTTACAGCTGATTAGACTGGAACAAGCGGAGTAAAGTATCTTGTTCAAGGATACAACACAGCGCCGCGACTCGAGCACGCAGCCCTTTAGAAACGAACCCGGCCTCCTACCACTAGATTGCCGTGCCTCCTTAAATGTTGTCAGTCAAGCGTGTAGATTGGACTGTAGTAAATTTCTCTTTGGTCTGTATTACAGGCATATTCGTATCAGCCGGGTAGATTTGCCTGCAGTATATGTATGTTGTCTCGAGGTGTGTATGAAGGTCATACAGTGTCAAGAAGTGTAGATTTAGCTGTAGTGTCAGGCGGGTAAGAACAGACTAGTATGTTGACCTATGGTCTGTATGACAGGTGAAGTGAATTTTCCTGTAGTACGTTGACTTATGGTATATATGATTGTCTTACCCGGTGTCAGGTGGGGTGAAAATTACCTGTAGTATGTTGTCTTTGGTCTGCATTTTAGTCATGCCTGTGTCAGGCGGGATAGATTTGATTGTATTACAGAAATATAGTCTATATAATAGTCATACCAGTGGTGGGAATGATATTTTGACTAAATTTGTATCATATAGTCTAGATCTATATGATAATCATAAATGTGTTGGTCAGGGTAGATTTGATTACATTACATCCAGTCTGTATAATAGTCACACCAGTGTTGGGCATGGCAGATTTGACTACGGTATAATCATATAGTCTGTATTATATAGTCATACCAGTCCCCCTGATTATCTGCAGTATAAGAGAGCTATTGGGCTAGACGTACTTATAATTTTTGACGGGTTAGATTCGAGACACCGGTTATTTAATACCTTGCTCGACAGAGGAAAGAGACGATTTCGAGAGCTCGCAAACAATAAGTTTTCAAATACTGTTTGTGTTCAAAACTTAGCCATTACTATTTTTTTAAACAGTGTACAAAGGTGTAGGTTTGTATTAGGAAAAGAGTTGGTACAAAGAACAGGCAGGCATTAGTGTTGATATCAGGATTATTTAAATAAGTATAAGAAGTCAGGTCTTGTTATTTCTATGATTCTAAAATGGAATGCCGGTTTGTCTTTCAAATTGTATAACAGAAATGCATCAGAGGAATATTTAAATACGTACATTGGTGTTACCACTGTATTACTGCATGCTTATTTGAATGCTAATAAAAAGAAAGGTATAATGTCTCTGTGATCAAAAATCAAAATCACATTTACAGAAAATATCCGAAGGAAGAAAAAATACGTTTTCTTTGAAGCAATATATAATCAATTAGGACAACATATTCTTAAGAAGAACTTCAACATACATTTTTACGCATTGTCACAAATCAAAATAAGTTTGAAGCAATTTGAAAAGACTAAAGGGCGATTTAAAAAAAAATAAAAAAATCCCTACCCAATGTCATTAACAAAAATAATCGAAGAATAAATATAAGTATTTAGGATCAGCAGTTTTGCTACATGTTCTCGTTTTATATTTAAATAACAAAACATCCTAGGGACAAAATTGAAAGTGTGAGTACATCAATTTTTTATATAGTGTATTAGACTGATGATGAAAGAGAAATGTTTTGCTATTTTGGTGTTTACAAAATGAATAAATGTAGCAACGCAGCCAACGCAAAAATGACCATGAATAATAAAATAGTAAAACGCAAAAATGACCATGAATAATAAAATAGTAAAACGCAAAAATCTTTTCTTCTGTGGGTTTGGAAATAACTTGGTTTGTCATTTGAACTTATAATTATCTATTTTTTTGTGATGAAATGTACATTTACTGTATGAAAAAACTCTTAACTAAGTTTCTATGGAAATTCAGCAAATCAGTAATATTATTCTTTTAAAAAACACTTAGATTTTTGTTTGGAGTTAAGTAAGATAATAACTTAGTCGTTTGAATAAGGTAAATATTTAAGTGATGCTATTTTTAGTTTTTTTTTAGGAACAAATGGAGTTATACGATAGTGGAAGAATGTATTAGGTACGTAAACTTTTAGTTTGAATGATTGGCTTATGTAGTAAATAAAACAATATACAAGTACTAATGCTAAGTCTTTCACGTACTTTGTTGTAGGATTGAAAATAATCCACGATCACGATGGCAAAACCAATCACTTTTATCCCAACGACCTCAACCAAATTTGGAACTTCGACCACCCATGGAGGAACCACCACTAATACGGAACCTGTCACATCCATTACTACCCAAGCAGACAGTATGTTACACTTGGTTCAGCTTCTTTAAGCAATGGTCATCGATAACAAATACGTAGACACGATATACTATGAAAATGAAAATGTTCACGCTTGAAAATGTTTGAACCCTTTAAACATATCACGTTGTGGAAAGTTAAGTGATTGCAATGGTTATGATATATATATATTATATATACCTATAATCTGTATAATCTATAAAGTATTATTCGCGTAAGTAAATGTTCCAGCTTATCTCATCAACGCGAAAAGTACAAGCATTTAAACGTTGCAAAAATTTCAACGTTTACAGTACATTTCCTTAAGCTATCTACATTCACTTTCCTTTAGATATTTGGCTTAATGGTACAGAAAAATAGCAAGCTATGCATGCGTTGTCATTTAAATATCACCATCAGTGTTAGAGACGAAAATGTTTAAACATACAAAAGGATGAGATGCCAAATACATATATAAGAAGTGGAAGAAAACGAGCAGTTATTGGCACTGAAATCTTACTTTTATGTAGTGTGTCAAAAGTAAGATGAAGTTTTGAAATGTTATGTCGATAAACTGATTTATAGTTCTGTTAACCTGTTGGTACTGACACCAGGGTAATTTTTATACGATACATGTACATGCTTATATCGCTTATCTAAAAACAAATCTGAAATTGAATTTATTAACTAATGAAGCAACAAGATATGTATTAGCCATTTAGTAAGTTAAAGCAATTGCCAAGGTTGAAATTTAACTCGACCGTATGATTATTTCATCCATATTTGATTTATTAATGGTACTTTTGATCAAAGAATGAAAATCTATGTCCACAATGTTTCGAAACAAATATAGAATAAAATTGAAATGAGAAAAGAGGCGTATCATTTTTTTTGGTGTTTTAAACTTGATATATTTGTCTTCAACAGATAGCTGATTCCTTAACTAGTATCCTATATAAACTTTGTCAGAATCAATTCCAGCTATAAGATAATTAATAAATCTAAATGTATCAAAAGGTGTATTTGTTATCCATTATATTTGCAGGTTCGAGCGTTTTTGGAGGTTTTGTATATATTGTGATAGCAGTTGTCGCAACAGCTGTCATTTTATCGATACTTGTTGTGCATGTACGTCGTATATCACGGGAGAGGGCACTGAGGAAGGCACGGAAGAGGGCAATTTCCTTCCAGGCGAGGTCGAGTGATATTCCGAAGAGTACGTGTACAGTCCAGAAGACGATTGGTGATTTACATTATGAAACAGATGATATAAGACTGCATATAAAAGGAGATGATAAATACGAAGGAATATACGATAAAAAAAAATGTTCAATTATCCTCGATCACAATTTATACAAAAATGAAAATAACAGAGATATGTTTGGGAGATCGTGGGATTTCAGAAAACCGCTATCGTCATTGAAAGATCAAATTCATATTAATGAAACCGGTGTCAGTGTAGCTTTCAGTAAAAACTCAAACCAATACGAACAGGAATTGAAGTTTAATGTCTATTGTAGTATTCATGAAAATTTCAAGGTTCTTGCATCAAAGTTGAATATAAAAAACTATCAAATGCTAGTCTCGCCAGTTGCAGAACTAGCTTTATCATATAAAACACACTTGCATGGTCATGTAATATTAGAATTACCGCTATGCAAATTTGAAACATTTTCGTCCCTGGGAGTCCACTGGATTTCAACGCCTCTGACAACATTTGCGACTGTGAAAGATATCCCATATGAGAAGGACCCTACATCGTCAAGTTTGGATTGTTTTTACACGTTGTCGGATAGTGGTACTGTCAGGGTGTACACAAATCATTTCTCTCTGTTCTTCTGCACGTGCTGTAAATCTGATATCCGATTCGAACTCTTGGCACAAACATGTGCTCGTGTTGGTGTGATTGACGGATACCCTACATTGCAAATTAAACTGTTTTTCCAAGGATTGCAGAACAGGTTGAAAAAGCGAGAGGTAAATGTAAAATTGATTATTTGATAAGAAATAAAACATGAAATGGCAAGGCTTCTGTAATAGTAATAATTTATCATATATGCATGAAGTATAGCTGTTCTGTAAATATTCTCCATAGCTGTTAAACCCCTTTCATTAGGAGGGAGATTACCTAATTTTGACCAAATTCATAGAAACTCGAAATCTACATCCTGTCAAATAATATCCTAGTTACTGCAGGGTGGTGTGTGTAATGACCATGACAGGTGTGTCTGAATCAAAAGAATGCTGTTTGAGTTGTTTTGATACATAGAAATGGAAAGCTAACTTGAGCAGATCAGTTTTAGTCGCTTTTCACGGACGTTCTGCCTTATTGTAAATGATCATGAATGAGGGAGACTTCCCTTTTTGAGGTTTCAGAGGTTGACACCTATGCTTCCCTCGCATATATTATATGCTCTTGAACATTTCAATATGTTTCGTTACACAGGGATCACATTATAAACTGAACATTCAGTGATTGCACAGTTAATTGCTAGTTCTTTTGTAACTTTAAATTATATTAAATATAATTTTAATCAGTTAAATATATTATCATCAGTTAAACCATATCTAATTTTGGGATTTTAATTACATCAATATCAGACATGTGTCACTTTGCATTTATTGAAGGAAAATGAAAACGAGCTCGATAAGAAGAAAGGATTCAATGTGATCGAAGGTGGTGAAATCCATTTGCTGAAGAAACCAAATTCAAAGACGAAAAGCGGATTTCTAAAGTGCAGGCTATCAACACTGATGGAAGAGAGATGCCCTAAGTGGGAACACATAAAACGAGGGGAGGATCAATGTCCAATTTATCAGCCTGAGCAGGTAATATATCTGTTTACATTTTAAGATACCATATCAATCAAAAATTGATATGATGGAGCACTGCCATTCACACTAGTATTTATATTAATAGAATCTATTCAAGTGAACATGTAACTGAGCGAGATCGTGTTATTTCAGTCGAGGGCTAAAATTCTGTAATTTAAACCCGACCGAGGCCTAGCCGATGTTGGAATAATTTTAGCCCAGACTGAAATGACCCGATTGTCCCAGTTTCAGTTAATAGATTTTTTTCTTGCACATATTAGTTCGAAAGAATATTCGATTTCGCTATAGTCAACAAGTATCCCGTCTGGGCCTCAACTACATAGGGCCTCTTCACTTTGACAAGTAAATGCTTCCATGTAAATAATGCAGGCCGTCCTTACAAAGAAAACGCCAATATCAAAGTGTGTATTAAAAAGCTTTTGTTTAAAATCAGTAAAAGATCATGAAAAGAATTCCCTTTAATATAGAAGTAGGATGTCCCTCAGCTTTCGATTGGTGTTTAAAATGTTAACAGAAAGTAAAAGAAGTGTGTAGAAACTTTGACCCAAAGAAAGGCACTAGTATTTACAATATGTCTGGCTGGGGTCTCTTGTTCATAAAAATATTGCAAATCAATGATATGTAAAGACGACGTGATGCAATCTGTGCTAGTTGGTTAGAGGTTTGATTCTCTCAAATATTTTCGAAACTCTTCCATTAATGTAAATTTTATATTTTTTCTGTCAATGTTAGAATACTTCAATAAGGAAAATTTTATAAGATGCTTTTTTTAACATTAACTAAACCTATTTTGCTCCACTATGTATTCAAGGTAGTGGATGTTGCAGAACTGATCAGATGCTGGCACAAAGATCACGAACTGTGTTACTGTATCAACTGGTATCTGAAATGTGAGAAGAGGTACTGCCATAGATTACCAATTGTCATCGATGTGGAAAACACCCGTCATTTAACTAAAAGTGATAAGAAAATTCAAACAACCTTCACAATGGAAGTCGACATCAACACTGGGCTGAACAGGGTTAGTTATACATGAAAGATAGCCGCAGGTTTGACTTGCAGCGTTAGAAGATACTTACTGTTTGCGACCTTATTGTATTTTCATTGTAGTTATCTTTTAGTTTATTTACGTGTTACACGAACATGATGTATTATATTGTTGCAATTTCAATTCGTACATAATCTGTAAACCTTTACATTTGAGGTCCTTCAGCACAATGGAAATCAACGTCAGCACAATACTTATCCTTACACCTATGGCTAGTAGCAATATATATCATAATAGATCCGGTTCACGATGTTTATTTGAATAGATTCAAAATCGTATGGCGCTTCAAGGAAAAAAAGTATCAGTCCATTTTAATGTAACAGTATTTGTTTATGGTCATATGTTTGTTGTTCCTGTAGGCTACCTTTCTTTTAAAGCCAAAAGGCATTACCGAACGAATTTTGCACTTTGATATACATTTTAGTTTCACGGAAAATAAGCAAAATATTTTATTCTCGAAAATACTTTTAAATAGCAATTCCAAATCCAATATTTGAAACCTACCGAGAGAAGAGTTATATATGTAAAAGCTCATTCCGCGTTTCACCTTATTGGTCATTCAGAAAAACAAGAAATTAGAACCGCTACACGCATCAGCGCTATTAATTGTATATATAAATGATATAAAACTGGAACTGTAAGTGTATTGTAATTTAAAGTAGTTTAACACACTCAATATGCATATTATCATTTTCAGTTTCAAGATCCTATACGGAATTTGATAGATAGCCTTGGGCATGACAAAATGCGACGACTTCTCGACGTACTGGAGTTGAGATCAATCCAAGAGAGGTACTCACATATATTAAACGTTTTTTTAATAAGCATATTTTCATAATGACAAATCCACCCATTGTTTGAATTGTTATATTCGTTATTCTTTAATTTGTTACGTTTTAATTGTAAACAATACTAATGTTTAATGTTATCGGATTTCAATATAGAATATAAACTTTTACTTATTATTTTTAAGCATATAGCAATAATAACAATATCTTTATTTCAGGATGGTAGTTTTATCTCGTACAATAAGATCAATTATATTTCATACCGTTTTAATTATGAAGGAAAGGTTTGCATGATTATTAAATGGAAGGCCTGTTGAAATTGCATGCTGTTTTTCCTTCTGAATAATAAATAGAAAAGAAATATCAATATAGAAATAGCATTCGTGCCTCGTCTTCACATAAACTTGATTGGTATATACAGTTTTGTTTGACATCTTCAGAAAATCTAAATATCATGGTACAGTATACGGCAAGTATAGTCTTTTTTCAGTAATATTTAAAATTTGATTGTATATATCATTGGTAATGTATATTATTAAATAATATATAGTCTCCACACTATGTATTTCTTATTTAGAGGAAGAGTTGAAGATGAGAAAGAGCAATGGTATGAAACGCTATCAGCAGTCCGAACCGATCCAAATGTCTCACTAAGATTGGGTAATGCCATGGCAACGGTGGGTGTGGAGTTGTGTGATCAAAACATAATAGGCCTTATCAATGCTGAAAGTGGGCACGAAAACCAACGTGTGGCTCGTAATGAACTGGAACACTCGTATGACTGCCCAGAAACAATCTCCACCGGAAGTGGTTACGCAAAAGTGAATTCACATTTTGCTACAAATATCAGAAATCCAGAATCCACATATCTATCGCTCAATAGCGTCGCCAATGACAGTGTCAGAAGCAGAAGATCACAACTACAACCACCACGTCACAAAACTGTCTTTCTCGAAAGCAGCACATCGAGTTATGCACTGACTAGTACTTCAGGTCATGCACATGACGAAGGTGCAACAGCAAGACCGATCATTTACTCTGAATCGAAAGATAAGCAGAATCATGTCATTGCAGACCGTCCTTCCCCTATAGGGGGCTACAACGACTCGGATGGAACAAATAGGAAAGAAATTATTGACAGTGACTCGGATGAAACAAATAGGAAAGAAATAGTTGACAGTGACTCGGGAGGTACACATAGGAAAGAAATAGTTGACAGTGGCCAAACGTATACAAAGTCAACAGTGTCATTAGGTGTCACACAACCAGAAACCATGGAAGAGTTTTCTGGTTGGTGGGTTTAGTGTGAAAGTAACAAAATGTGTGATATGTCTCCGTAGAATGATACAGAATTTATTTTCAGTGTAAAACGTTACTTTTCACCGGTTGAAAATGTTAATAGTGGAGGCCTTTTGACATTTCTAAACTAATAAAGACTTAAAGGTATACATGACAAATCATAAAGCTTTGATGGAGGGCAGGCGCAGTCGTAGATATGGTACATGCAGTAGAGAATATATAGGTCAGGGTCCAGAGTACTGGCCAGAGGACTGTTCTCCTCATATTCACAGACTGTCGCTAGACAAGATGTATATTCGTCCTACTAGGCAACTCTGTGCAGTATTATAATTATATCAGTTTTATTTACAGATTATTGTAATTGGTGTACATATTGTATATTATACAATCTGATTTACACCGAACATTTCACAGTTATGTCATATTGTATAAAATTGATTTTTGCAAAAACATATTGTTGTTATCTTGTTTTAGTAATTTTACACATAGTTCGTAAAACATTAAGTAAAACGAACTTTTTATGTGTAACAATTTGTGAAATACTGCACATTTTCATAATATGAATTGCCTGTAGATTTTTTGTTGAACTGGATTGTGTTTATCTGTTTTTATTGTTAGTTTTTAATAATGTATGTTATGTAATGATGTATACCGTCCATGTTTCAGAGTAGAGCTATTTGAAATTACTCACATGGTTTCCTGCTTACATTTCATAATTGTTTCAAACTAAACATATCAATAAATAAAGATTGGCGTTGGTTACGCATGCTATAGAGCTGGTGTTCGAACGTGTTGGTTATAATTAATAATCTAAATTCTGTCACACGTTCCTTTTAACTTTTGCTCCAAACCATGATGAAATGTGTCGTAACATTTTTGAGGGGTTCAGAAGAACGGCGGGTGAAAGAAACACAGAAACTACGAAACTTTGGAAAATCGTTCAAAATTGAAAGAAACTGTCATTCTGAACCAAAATTTTGAACGCAGCCAGTAAAATTAATCATTATACATTATCTTGCGTGGTGAAACATGCCGCTATCAAATATTTTGAATGGAGTAATAAAACAAACTAGGATATATAAATAGAGGCAAACACCACAACTTTAATGCAGCATGTAAAAGAACCCCATGACATTACGATTATACCAATACACGCAACATGTACATGAAAGAACTGTTTTCAGGAAAGCGATGAAACGCGTTGATGTCAGTTTTTCTAATAAGGGGGTTTTAGAGGTTAGAATAAGTTAAAAAAAAAAAAAAAAATCTTAACCTAGATGATTAATATAAAAATAACTGAGAGATGCCTGTCCGGGAATAATTCATTCGTGTCGATGTCAGGTTTTCGACAACTACGAAAAGCCCAGTTTAGAGTCGAGTTAGATACAATATGCTTAATATTAAGAGAGGTCGATCTATTTTAACAACGCATTCAACACAGACAACGAAACATGTTGTAGATCATTTTATATCAGAATTGCATTCTAAGGCCTTAAATAAACGCGTCGGTGTCACTTTTTCTACGGATTCAGAAGGAGGCCGGTTCCGGTTTAAACAGGGTTATACTGTTTGTTCAAGACAGAGGCTGAAATTGTAAAAATGACCGCAGCCAGTAAATAAATATACGAGTTGCCTCCCATGACTCGGTTAGATAGTGTCACAAAGACACTGTAAAGCAGGCATTTTAACGTAGGAAAACATACAAACACACGGAAGAAATAATAGAGTTAAACAAGGAAATTAGCATCCTAAGAACAGAAGTAACGAACAGGAATGACATCATTATAAGGCAACAAAATGGAAAGGTAAAAGAACATGAATCGAAAAAGTTGAGAAAAGAAACCAGTTTGTTGAAATCGGACATAACGGACATTACTAAGACACAGACAAAGCAAAATGTAACTGACAACAATGACTCAATTACTAAGCAACTAAATGTAAAGGTAGCAGAGAACAATGACCTTGAAAAAAACCCAATCGAATGGAAAAATAAAGGTAAACAACATTGAACTAGATGGTATAACAACAGAGAACAATAACACTTTAATCATCGACAGTTTATCTGATGTTATTAATAACAGTACACTCTAAGACATCGGCACCACGGACAGCTATTCTGACCGGGTGAAAAAAGATGGTATCACGTCCCATCGTAATAGACCGGTCCCTCAGACGTGTCCGCGGGACAGTAAGATTAACACGCACAAGGAACCAGACGAACAATCGAAATACGTGTTTCAAGGTGTTCAACGCAAGAAACGCACAAAATATATACTAATGTCAAGAATTAAGGCTAACGGTTCATACAAAGAGGTCGTAGAATCCGTTATTGGATATGCGGCCGACAATGGCATTACAGTCACATATGTACGCATTTTGAAATGCTGGAACAACTACAAAGAGCCTACATATACGGCGAGGATTAATGTTATAGAGAACGACTATGATGTAACCATACAAAATGAATTCTGGCCGCCAGGTGTGCTAGTCCGCGAGTGGTTGGACCAATTCGACAAGGACGGACAACGCTCATTTGTAACAGCAAACCAACAAAACGATCGCGAATGGACGGGTATACAGGATGACAACTACTGGAATGTAGGATTCGCAAGTGAAAGCGGCAACAACTACGATAGGTACCAAGGTGACTGGCTCAATGATTAAGTGTATATCATACCTTATTGCTGTGCTTGTTCTTATCATTCTAGCTGCCATGAGATTACAGAGCTAGAATATACGCGGTGTTATGTTTGGTACATCTTATTTATGTGAAACACTTTTTAATTCTGATATCGTTTTTTCAGCAGAACACTGGTTAATGCCGGAGCAATTGGGCTTCCTTGATAGTTTGACAACGATTTCAAATATATCGGAAGATGTGACGACAGGATAGCAATAGAACCTGAAAATAGGAAAGGTCATGGTTTTGGAGGAGTTGCTATGCTGTGGCGTAAACATCTTAAGGTGACGCCTCTACTACAAAATGGCAACGATAGGGTAATTGGTATATATGTTGATATTGAAAATATGTCGTATTATATTATTGGTGTACTGATGCCGTCCACTAATTTACCTCTATATGATTATAAAGATACCAGGCAATGTCTATGTGATATGTGTGATAAATATGTTGAAAATGGATCAGTAATAGTAATGGGAGACTTTAACGCTCATTTATCAAAAGAATTTGGTAGTAAAAACAGTGCTGAAGCTAACGAGAGAGGGCGAATTCTGCAGCAGTCTATGCGAGATCGATTTCTGATATCTGCTAATTCCCAAAACTGGTCTGATGGGCCAAATTACACTTCCCTTTCTGGTGACGGTGGTAGGGTGTCTATGATTGACCATGTTCTGGTGTCGATATCTAAAATTGATCTTGTCGAATCTTGTCGTATATGCGATGACCAGTTTCTTAACGTGTCTGATCATCGACCTATACAACTTACATTACGCGTACTACTTTCTAAGCGTCATACTATAACTCCTGACTACTCTGTAAACTGGAAGAAGGTGACCGAGATGCACATCAATAAATATAAACAATCACTTGACGCGATGATTGAAAATACATCTTTACATTCAAATGACATCGAAAATATAGTGAATTTGTTTAATAATGCAGCGAAATTAACGCTGTCTATAAAATAATATAAGCATTACTTAAAACCGTATTGGAATTCTCGTCAAGTTAATTCACTGCATGCTAGGATGAGAACTATCAGGTTGTTGTGGATTGTTGTGGATTGGTGAAGGTCGACCAAGAGGTTTCGAGTACGAATCTTATTCGAATTATAAGTCTGCTAAGAGAAGTTTTCGCAATGAACTAAATATAGCTCGCGAAAACTATGAGCGTGAACAATTTGCGGAATTAGAGTCATTAGCAGAGATAGATATTGGTACGTTTTACCAGGCCGTACGACGGAAGAGGTCAATGGGGGAACATTCCCATTCAATCACGCGTGATTTAGATATTCTGAGAGAAGCGTGGTACGATCACTTTAGTAGACTAGCATGTCCCCTAAGTCAACCACATTTCGATGATTACTTTAAGATCTATATTGAGAATGCCGCACGTAACATGCATATAGAAAGTTATAACAACTCTGATGGTATACGTGATCATCCGGTATCCTTACCAGAAGTGAAGCACGCTATTTCTAATATGGACTTACGATAAAAGATATACACGTACCATGCGTGTTTTTAGCGGACGACACATTAGTATAGACAGCCTCTATAGGGCTTATACATACTCTACTTGTTGGCATCTCAACTATAACTCCACAAAGAGCTCTCTAGTAATATTTCAATATCCACGTCGACGTGTGATGTCAGAAGAATGTGGGCCTATACAATGTAAATTGGTTCCGATATAATTTCAATGACATCACAGAAAACGTACGCTGGGATAACGTTTACCCATAACCTACAATCAAGCAGTAGTTTTTTTGATGCTTGTGTGAAAGGAAGGACTAACCTAAATTCACTTTTAAGTATTGGTATTCACCCCAATGGGCTGAACCCTGTATTAAGTTTTAATATTATTAAAAGTGTTGTATATTCAAGTATGTTTTATGGGTGTGAGCTTTGGAATTCATATACTAAGAAAGCTGTAGAAGAGTTGGAACGTACACAAAGATATGCATGCATACGTTGTATTGATTGGTCTTCCTAAAACTTCCTCCTCAGCAGTGACTGCTCAGTGTTTAGGGTCATTTGATATGTGGAGCGAAGTGGAGAGAAGGAAACTATCATTTTTGAACAAATTGTGTTCAGGTGGTGCTAAGGTTTTATGGAAAACAATTTTTATTATTAAACTATGCCAATTTATGTATGGTAGTTCTTCAACTACTCAAATAGGATTTCTGCCTGATATATATAACATAATGGTTAAATTTAATATAGAATCATTTATCCTATATTCGTACCACCGATGTTATGCCGGAAACGTTTCATTAATAGATTTGTATATTATTTCTATTACATAAGTTGGAAAGATAAACTAAATACACGTGATGAACATAAGAGATATGCTGCTATCCATAGTGACCCGGGAATAAATCCAATATTGCAACTAAGCACTAAACAAATTTCTCAAAAACATGTATGGGATCTAGTAGTTATTTAAATACTCAATATCTTGTGAGAATGAAGTGTTTATATGTAAGTTATGTGAGAAAACAAGTAAAGATAGTGTGTTGCATTTTATATTAGAATGTCCAGGTTTATACTTAAGCCGTGATAAAATGATGGATGGTGTTGTAAATGCTATAGAAATATTGTCATATGTACAGTTTTCAGAATTAAGCATTGAAGACCAATGCAGCTTTTTACTTGGTGATCATTCACATGTTACTTGACTGATATAGAGTGGGAAACACTAATGATAAATATGGCTGGAAATAGTATGTGAGATGGAAAGTTCTCTATATTTAACCTATTGATGTATATGTAAGCGTATACGTTTATATGTAAAAGTTGTACGAGGAATAGATATTGTAGTGAACATTTTGTATTATGAATTATATAATGCAGTTATATGAATGTCAAATACGTCATTATTTAATACATTTACTTCTCAAAACTATGTTTATATATAAATTAAAATACATTTTGTAAAACTGTTTTGACATATTAAATCTCCTAAAGGAGGAAATAAAGAATGTATGTCTGTCTGTCGGTCTGTCTGTCTGTCTGTCTGTCTGTCTGTCTGTCTGTTTGTCTGTGTCTATGTAACTGTGAGTTATGTCGGAAAAAAGCATACCGTATCTATGTAACTGT